AACGCGGTTGGACTTAGCAGCGTATTAATTCCTGCCAAAACCATCACCGCAAAGCCGCTCAGCTATGTGGCGAAGAAGATTCGGCAGTGTATTATAGAGTCTCGTCAGCGGGAGTAGATTGAAGCGTACGCTGCATTGTGGAGGAAATCGCCCGGCAAGATCCCGCCGTTATTTGGAAATGCAACGATGCATGTAATCGCCTGCGAGAACTGGTCAAAAGCTGATTTATTCCTTCTTGACTTTTCAGCAGCTCTTACTGCACATGCCACTACATCCTCAACTGTTACGGAACGGAACCTGGCCGCCCACGTTATGTGCAGAGTTGCTTTCGTGGTGTACAATTGTCAGATTTTGTGGCTATTCTGGGCAAAGACTGTCGAAGGGGGGGGGGGGGGGGGTACTGGTTAACAGGCATTACCAGTGCAAAGCAACGGGCGATCATTGAGGAGGCAATGGCACAGAAGCCAGCACCGCTCTGCCCGTGGTAGCTTTAAATCCACCAATCACATATTTTGCCTTGGTAGCAATGTGGTTTTCTTTATCTTTGAGCCAATATATATAAAAAAAATAAGACGCATGTACAGATAAACAGGGTACAGAATATCGAAGCACGTGTTTGAATCTCGTTGCTTGTTTTAGATAGTAGCTGGCAGTAGTATTATAACAAGTATTAGTTTTTAATATAAGTTTGCGCTTTATATACAAAATTAAGAGCCTCGTATTTTGTCCAAGCTGTCCCAAATAGTCATGCTATGTAACAGGTCAAGACGTGATGCCAGCTCTTTCTGTAAATCACGGCTGTCAAAATAGAAAGAACGATATTATATTGCCTATATTTATAAGCGTTCCTTAACATTCCCGATATACTATTTATAATAAAAGGATTTCAAACAACCATGGTGAGAATAAAGGTTGGGAAGAGCCGACAGGCCGGGATCGCAGGCGAGAGTGCAAATCGAGCCACGTCGGGATCGGCCCGTTGAACGAAAGCCCACTCGAAGGCAGGAGGGAGGATGGGCTGGCTACGAAATATTCTGTGCAGGGTCTGACAACTTATGGTAAGGCCCCACGAGGCACATCAAGGTGAATTCAATGGAATGCGACCAGAAGTTCTCCCCGGAATCCCTCAAACTTTAGGACTTCGGTACCCCCACACGCGCCGTGGTAAAACGGACGACGGTGGCTTTCCAGCGATACGAAACGCAGCAATACGAAACGCGTGGCTTTATGAAATGGCATAACTACTTAGTTTGCGTATTATGTCTCCCAATATCCATCCCACTTTGCCTGGCTGTAAAACGAGGCAATAGACAACCACCTCTAGTCACTTGTATTACATTCGGGGGAACGTGAATACAAAGCAACGTATTTGCGAGTCGTCGAGATCGTTGACTCTGAGGAGGATTGAGTCTCGACTTAAATACTGATGGCGCTGGGCCATAAGCCAGTTTGGTCGCCAGGGCTTGATGTAACGGTACAGGCTGAGTATATTGACAACTAGCTAGGCGACTACTACGAGTATCTAAACGCTAAAGAAGAAGGAGAAAACAGAACAAGGAAAGGAGAGCTCGAGGAGCTCGACACGTGGTTAATCTCGCTTATGGATAAATCCCGGCCGGGGGCCGGGGCCGACGCGAGCGTGCAAGCCGAGCCATATCGGGCTCAGCCCGTTACACTTGGTATAAGTCGAGCTATCAAACGGCTCTCCACACCCATTCAGGCACACTTGAACATGTTAATTTGGCTGTTTAAGTCATCGTCTTGATCTTTTTTCCCCACTATGGATGTACTTAGACTCCGACCGCTCAGAGGTTAAAATCAATGTTACAATGGCGTATTCGGTGAACGTAAAATGGCATGCTACGATCTTGTTGAATGTAAGGGAAACAGAATATGTTTGCCAAGTGAATTCCAGCCAGAATTGTCTAGGACGTCATGTATCAGCGTCGCCCTTTTGGCGGAAGGTGGTTTCAACACCTTTTGCCCGCGCATACATGGGCAAACCGTTTAAACGGTCGAATATGTTCTCAAACGTTTGAGCGGTTCAACAATATCGCAAACGGTTAAACGAACGAATGAACGATTTATGGGGGTGAGAAATATCTACCGCGCATACCGGTTGAAATAATGCCCACGATTGTCGAAAGTCCTGAGAACCGCCCTCCAGCCGTGGGGTTTTAGATTTGACCCATCCCATTCTCATGGAGAGGCCTTGACTAATTGCCTGTACATACGATCCTCTCGATGGTTTCGCATGCGATTCGTAGATCATCATACTCCATGAGGTAATGAGGGCCTATGATGTATAGGTTACGCAGAAGAGGTAGCTCAACCTCGCCCGATTCAATAGCCGAAAAGGCACTTTCCGACGTGCGAGCATGCTAATCGATGCTTCTTGATATGCCTACGGGTTGAAGGGATTCTTAAGTGCGTCCTCTCTTGCTACAAGCGAAAATATGTGGGTGTAGAGCGCAGGTTAGATACTGACCTGGTGGATCTACATGCGATGGGCTGGTTTGTTGCTGACATGATTGGCAGCGTTTGCTTTTGGTCAAGCCATTTATCTCGACACGCAGCGCAAGTACTTAAACGATCTTTCGTGATGTCATGATTTGAGATAAAATTTAATGGCAATCTATTGATATCCACGGGCTTCTTGTAGCACGTATAATAGATGTGTCAGATGACATCTTGATTGTCAAACGGCGAGATTTTGACCTTTGTATCTGGAATTGTGCAAGGAGTATGGGCTTATTTAGCCAGAAGAGTGCTTAGAAGCCGACAAGTTAATTGCAGTACAGAGTAGAGGAACTAGACACTATCGAGGAGATGGCTGAACGCTGAGGGTCTGTGATAAAGATTGGCCTCGTTTGGTGGCGTTGGAGGCATCCGTGCCAGCTGAATGCACCTCAACGGCCCAACCCGTTAAGGTTACATATTGGGACTGATATTGACCATTTTAAAAGATTTATCGGTGCAGCGTCTGGAAAGCCGTTTAACCGTTTAAACGGTTTAAGTATTTCCTAAAACGGTTAACGACTTAAGATGCCACAAACGAGTTAAACGGAACGAACGGACGAACGAACGAACGAACGAAAGTGCCCATGTATGTGCCCGCGCACCCCTTTTCTGGCTGCTACCGCAGCCCGAAACATAGGCCGAGTCGGCCTTGTAGATGCCATTACCTGCACAACCCGCTGACGGGTAACAGAGGAGACTGTGAGCGCCTTTGAGCTGATGCTATGTTAGTGTTTTGTGTACGTAGTCTCACGTAGCAAATTTAACCACTAATCTGACACGTCCTGTGGCCCGCTAGGGGATCTGAGTGGCCAATGGCCGCTGGACGAAAAATACACATATATGCCTGAGAGGGTTGATACCGAACTGACTGTGGTGCGTGCCAATCAGCGCATTCTCATCAGGCTAGTATTTAAGTACGTTTCTGTGACTGAGTCCCAAGCCGCTTATTCTCCTCAGAAGTTGCATTCTAGTCTCGCCATTATGGAATGTAAGCAGGTCAGCTTGGTTTGTGCAAGTGCTATGGCGCAAGCTGAGTTGAAGAGGAAGGTTGGACATGTTGTGGCTCGTGAGCGTTCGAGGGTACAAAATGGAAATAACTATCAGACCAACATCCACCACCATTATGCAGATCCGCCCCAAGCTCTCTCGCCATCCGCAACATACAAGCTTCCCGCCTACTTACCGGAGGTGCCAGAGATAACTCACTTCTTTGCTCGAGAGGATGAAGCCAAGCAAGCGGAAGATGCGCCTGCCGGCACGAACAGGTGCCGCTCTGTCGTTCTCCATGGCCTGGGCGGAAGGAAATGACGCAGCTAACGTTTACGTACGTTCGGTGCCATCAAGATGATTACACCGCTGCGATATGGTTTAATGCAAAGGAAGAAATGACAACGATTCAAAGCGTGTCACTCGCAGCTCGAGCCTGGCCATACTCGCTAGCATTTCAGCGACTGGCAAATTGGCGGGAGCTTCACGCAGTGACTGCCACCGACAGATGAACATCCTGTCAACTGTAGTGCTGGGTGAGACACTGCTAGCCACGTATCTTCACCTCTATCGATTGGAGCCGCGACATCAATTTCATCAGGCAAGCTCTCGGTATGTACATCACGCTGTGTGCGAAACGACGTGTTGTCCCCGCTTCGGCCTGATTCTACTTCCTCTCTCATCGTTCCATGTCAAACTGTTCAATTCTCTTCACATCGTCTCGATTCTCGCCGGACTCAACACAACCCTTATCATCAAAGCGAATTCTGCTCGAAAGCCCTCTTCCTCAAGTTGGTTAATAAGAGCATGAATTGCACTTTGGCCCTCACATATCTCTCTTCGTGTCTCCGCAATGCGATTCTGAATATCCCGCCTTATTATAAGGTTTGGAACTCCCTGCTCTCGTAGGTAGATCTGAATCTCTTTTGGATGAATTCGCGATGATGCAAGTTGTGATATACAGGCCTCTCTCAAGCAGCCATTTTGCGATGTGCTGGATATGCTAATGCATGGAGACTTGGCTCATGATTATGTTGGTGATATTTAGGGTCGCAATGTTTTAGTTGCCACGAGGAATTGTTGTGATTGAACTTATTCTATTCAATTCTGGTTGACAACTTTCATACATATATATACCTAGTGGCACGGCCCGTGCCAATAGGCAGCAACTCTTTCACGTGTCATGTCTGGTACATGACTCGCACCAAGTCAACAGGAACCACGGGCCTCCTTTGCAATAATAGAAAATGGGCATTCTGTTCCTCCGAAGTTATTCCCGCATGACTAGCCTGGGAGCTAGAATACAGGTTTCCAATTTCCAATTTGACTTTCTTCCATCGGCTCTGCAACCATAAGCCCTTGGCATTTGGCTACCGTCAACATTAAAACATCCATCTGATCCGGTAGATTAACTGTGTTCTTTCACTCATGATCAGGGCCAGTAGAAAAACAGCCCAGGTATTGAAGCAGGACCAGTTCAGGAAACCATACTCTCACATATCTCCAGAATTGCCTGGGCTCGCTTCAAGCTGGTTCTCGGCGATCTTTGCTGCCAGATGCGTTGAGCTCATCTTGGCAAGTAACTGGCGTGCGTGGTCCGTCGCCGACATTGTAATGTACGACGAGGTTGCCGGAGGATCATTGAATTTTATAACGGACACTTCTTGGATAGGCCTGGCTGTATTCCCTGGTGGATCATGTTTGAGGCGTAGGTGTACCGGTTTCATAGCTTTGCAGTTTGTTTCCATGGCGATACCAAGAAGACCTGCAGCGCAGACAAAATAGGGCATAAGCCCACTCACCCGGTGAAGAGTGAAAAGGTCGTCGTAAGATTGAACCAGCGCTAGGATGGATTGCGCAGCTTCGTTACATATCCTGTGTGGCCCAATACCGGGATCTTCTATGTAGACATTGGTCAAGGGCCTAAAGGCGCATAGAATGGAGAAGTGATAATACATACTGCATCGGTTAAGTCTTTAGGACTCTTCCTTTGGGGGATTTACTGGATGATTGCTTACTGGACAAATAGTACAAATGGCGTTCTACCGAAATCCTTCTCTGCAACGGCGAGAATTTCCGTATACCAATCAAGGCACTTCTTGTAGAATATCCTTAATTTACTGGAGATCTCTTCGTTGCTTGAGTGAGCCGACGTTATGAATTTGTACACCCATTCGGTAAGCTGTAAAATCTTCGTCGAAATAAATTGTGGGAATTGCTACACGGGCATGA